GTGATGGGGTGGGAGAGGCAGGGAAGCTCCGAGCTTGTTTCCAGCCTGGAAAACCCAGTGTGGGTACTGAGTGCTGAGCTCTGCTTGGTGGGGTGGGAGCTGGGGTGGACCCGTGCCTTGAAGCATCGCTGTAGCCCAGGGTGTAAACGCAGCCGGTGCGTTCATACTGGAGAGGATTTATCATATACAGCATTTATCGTGCTGTCTGTGACTACCGTGAGCTGATCCCTGCTGTGCCCTGATGGTTTAGCTGCTTGCCAGACAGCACCAGCCTTGTATTTCTGTGTCTGCTCTCCAAAAAAGCCTTTGGAGATGGAGTAAGCTGTTTGTGGACACTGCAGAGGTTCAGCCTGGAGAAGAGAAGGCTCCGGGGAGACCTTGGAGCCCCTTCCAGTCCCTAAAGAAGGGGGGCTCCAGGAAAGCTGGGGAGGGACTCTGGATCAGAGAGGGGAGCCCTAGGAGGAGGGGGAAGGGTTTGACACTGCAAGAGGGGAGATGGAGCTGAGATGTGGGGAAGAACTTGTTTGGTGTGAGGGTGGTGAGAGCCTGGCCCAGGTTGCCCCGAGAAGCTGTGGCTGCCCCATCCCTGGAGGAAAGAGACAGTCCCCTGGTCTGCACCACGGCCCTTGATCCCAAAGTGGTGCCATCTGAGGGTGGATATATGGGTATCAAGGAGGGCCATGGAGATGCTGGGAGGGCTGGAGCCCCTCTGCTGGGAGAGGGGGCTGAGAGAGTTGGGGGGTTCAGCCTGGAGTAGAGAAGGCTCCAGGGAGACCTTGGAGCCCCTTCCAGTCCCTCAAGGGGCTCCAGGAGAGATGGGGAGGGACTCTGGATCAGGGAGGGGAGCCACAGGAGGAGGGGGAAGGGTTTGACCCTGAAAGAGGGGAGATAGAGCTGAGATGTGGGGAAGAACTTGTTTGCTGTGAGGGTGGTGAGAGCCTGGCCCAGGTTGGCCAGAGAAGCTGTGGCTGCCCCATCCCTGGAGGGGTTCAAGGGCAGGTTGGAGGGGGCTTGGAGCAACCTGGGCTGGTGGGAGGTGTCCCAGGGGGTGGCATTGGGTGGACTTTAACTTCCCTCCCAACCCAAACCATTCTGTGATTGAGTGAAATCTCCAGGGGAGCTTTGTCTCTGTATCAAACAGGAACAGCACCGAGTCTCCTCCCTGCGTCTGAGCCTGGGGAGCCATGGGGGGGCAGATGTTGGCCCAGCCCGGAGCCACGTTGGGCTGTAACGTGACTTTTCTCCCTCTCTGTGGTGTTGATGTTGTGCTGTCCCTGACATGGAGGTGATCCCTCTCCCGTGTGGTCGGGCTGGGCCCACCCATGGGCTGGCAGATGGGGTCAGCGCCGCTCGGGGGTTGAAACCTGCCTCTTAAAAATACCCACTGGCAGCGGAGATGTGGCTGAGCTAGAGAACTCCTCTCTTTTTAGGCTTCCCCCCATGTTTTTAGAGTAAAAATAAAAGTTTAAACCTACGCTTAAGTGATGCTTAGGAGCAGCCTGGTGGGAATTCCCTGGAAGACCCAGCCTTTCTTGGGAATGTCGCTCGTCCCCACGCGAGGGGGGATGATCCTGCGCTGTCTCAGCCGGGTGCCAAGGCTCCAGCTCTCCTAGGAACGGCAGAGGGGGACTGGTGGGGGTTTCCCTCGCTGCCAGGGTGCCTCGTGAGCGGTTTTCGGGGGTGTCATGGCAGGTCTGAGGTCACCCAGAGGTGCAGATGGCTCGTTTGATCCACCCGAGCTGCCTTTCAGTGGGAAAACACACCATATCCCACCACAGAACTGGTCTGCGTGCCTGGCCAGGCTTTTTTTTTTTCCCCTTTATTTTTTTGTGAGGTGAACGTGGCTCCGGCCGCTGCCCAGTTTGCTTCTTGCCTCCTCTACAAACTGCCTTCAACACTTCTTGGCTTTCTGCCCCCCTGTTCTGGTCGATAGGAGGTTGTTATCGGGGCTCAGCAAACCACGGTGAGATCCCATCCGGGCTCTGTCCCTCAGGCCACCTGGCAGCTCCAGGCTGGATGAAGCAGCTCATTTGCACAGGGTGGTTAATTCTCTGTTATGTTTTAATCTCTGCGACCATCTGTGTTCTCGCCCGGGCTGGGGAGATGGAGAACTCTTGGGATTTATTCCAGGAGGCGAACGTGGAGAGGACTGCTTATTCTGAAAACTGCCCCGGGTCAAAGCAGGACAGGCCTCGTTAGCTCTGGGAATGGGGGTTGTTCCTGTATCTTCGGGCAAGGAGGCTCCGTGACGTGTCAGGTCTGTCCTGGAGACACGTCCTGAAAAGCTGCAGGGAGAAGACAGGGACAAAAATACTGAAAATAGGGACCTCTGTGAAGGCTTCCCCAGCGTCCAAACCCAAACACAGAGGGTCTGTGATGGGCTTGGTGGCACCTTGGAAGGTTCCTCCAGGGCAGGCTGCATTGGCCTGGGGAGAGGCAGGGTGCTAAAGGGTCTCCTAGCCACCTTAAAAGCCCAGCCCCAGGTTGTGGTAGCCTCTGGGGTATGTGCCTGCCCCACCAGCAGCTGATGCAGTCTCTGCCCTGGGGAACACCATGGCTGGAGCTCAGATTTGACCTCAGGGGACCAGTTCCTATAGGTGGGCTGCAGGAGCACCTCCAGAGAGACCTGTGCAGGTGGCTGCTGAGTGGGAGAAGCTGTTTTTGTGAGCGACACCTGAAGTCTTCTTTGATTTGGCTTCTCACATTTGCTAGCTGAGGCTTGGCAACTCATCACAGAGGCCCCACAAGGATCCTGCTGACCACAGCCCCTGCAGGTGGCACGGGTGAAGGTGGCACTTGCTGCAGGCTCTGTCGAGGAACTCCTGTCCCGTGGGGACATCCCAGCCCAGAGGGAACGATCCCTGCCCTGTAATTAAGCTCTCTTCTGTTCCTGCTCACCACGCTAATGAGGAGTCTTGTGGATGTTCTCCTCACAGCTGCTCTGGATCTTCTGTGTGGCTCAGGAGCTGGAGGTGGCTTTCCAAGAGGCCAAACCCAAATCTCCATCCCTGTCTCATCGGGGTGAATCTTGTGGCCGAGGAAGAACCTTTGACTTTAAAGGCTTTTCCTTGAGTGTACCTTACTGGACTGCACCCTGTACACTGTAAACTCATCACCCAAGCTGTGTGGAAGACCCTTCCTGCTGTCCATGCTGGCAGGGCCGGCTGAGATGGAGATATTTTTCATGTTTTTCCAGCCTTGTGTTGAAGGACCAAGGTTGCCTCTTGAAAGGAGAGCTCTCTTTCACCTGCTTGCCAGGCTCTTGACATCAGTGGATAATAACACTTAAAAACATCCAGCTCTCCAGCTAAATCCTCTCCTGGTTCAGCAGTTCAGGGCTTCAGTCTCGCTGGAGATGACAGCCCTGGGACTGTCAGTGTTGTGGTGCATCCCAAAGGATGGGTGTAGGCTTGTGCCCATCTCTCTGGTGTGGCAGGTTGGCTGTGGAGGAGTCCAGCACTGTGTGAGAATTCCCCGGTGTCCCATGAGCTCTTGGCTGTGCACTTGTGTCGAGCAGGTCCCTGGACCCTCGGTGGGGCTGTGGTGTGAGCTGTGGTGTGAGGTTCAACGAAGTCAAGTGCCAGGTCCTGCCCTTGGGTCACACCAACCCACTGGGACAGAGTGGCTGGAGCTGCCTGGCAGAAAAGGACCTGGGGGTGTTGGTGGACTGTCGGTTGAACAGGAGCCAGCAGTGTGCCCAGGTGGCCAAGGAGGCCACCAGCATCCTGGCCTGGATCAGTGTGGCCAGCAGGACTGGGGCAGTGATGGTCCCCCTGGGCACTGGTGAGGCCCCACCTCAAGTCCTGAGTCCAGTTTTGGGCCCCTTCCCACAAAAAAGACCTTGAGGGGCTGGAGCGGGTCCAGAGAAGAGCAACGGAGCTGGTGAGGGGTCTGGAGCACAAGTCTTGTGAGGAGAGGCTGAGGGAGCTGGGGGTGTTCAGCCTGGAGAAGAGGAGGCTGAGGGGAGACCTTCTCGCTCTCTCCAACTCCCTGAAAGGAGGGTGTAGCCAGGGGGGGGTCGGTCTCTTCCCCCAAGTCACAGGCGATGGGAGAAGAGGAAACAGCCTCAAGTTGCACCAGGGGAGGGTTAGGATGGAGATTGGGAGAAATTCCTTCCCTGAAAGTGTTACCAGACATTGGAGGAGGCTGCCCAGGGCAGTGGTGGAGTCGCCATCCCTGGAGGTATTTAAAAGCCGGGCAGACGTGGTGCTGAGGGACACGGGTCAGTGGTGGCTTTGTCAGCGCGAGGTTGATGGTTGGACTCGATGATCTGAAAGGTCCCTTTGAACCTGGACCATTCTACGATGGGGCTGGATTTCGGGACCCTCCTCGTGCCCCGGCGTGTGCCCGCTGGAGCCGGCAGCCGGCCTCCCTGCGCCTGGGAGCACCGTTGCTCTCTTGAATCTCTTCATTTAGTTAATGATCCTTTTGTTGAGAGGATTAGGGTTTAGAGGCCTCTGGCAGAGCGTTAATTAAATTAAGTCTATGGGTGTTTTGTTGAGGTTTTAAAGCCCACTAGAGGGCTCAGTTGGAGCCCTGTGGAATTGGGGCTGGAGGCGTTGGGCTGTGTCCGTCCCCTGCAGAAGATTGGGGGATAAGTTTAGTGAGGTTGAAGGAGCTGGGGGGACACAGAAGTGCTTGGGGTCGCTCTGCAGCCTCCACACCGTGCTTGTTGCTTCTCCAGCCTGGCTTTCACCAGGGCTTGGTGGTGCCAGACCCGTGCCGAGCCACCCTGGGCACCAGAGGCTGTCCCCACCAGAGGCTGGCAGGCACAGGACGCCTGCGTCACCGCTCACGGCATTATCAGCGTTAAGTAATGTTGGGCTAATGTGTTTTTTTAGGTTTGGTTTGTTTTTTTTTCTTTTCCCTTCCCCGCTCGGTGTTTACATTTCTGAGAAGTGGCTCAACGGGAGCATCGGTTCCATCTTCAGCTCGGGGAAGAGCCAGACACTCAAGTTCCTTCACACATGCTCGTGTAAAATACAAGTGTGAGCGCTTGGCTTTGTGGCTGGAGGGGGGGTTTTCTGGTGGGTGGGCGCCTGGGGTTTTTCCCATTTAGCTGGAACTGCTTATTAACCAGTGTCTCTTCTCTTTTTCTCTTCTCTGCACTGCCCCGGGATGGATTGTGGTGCCTCCCCTGCCTGGTCTGCCCGGCTGTCTCATCGCTGGGTAAGTACCCGCTTCGTTCGATCGGTGAAGGGGAAACAGCTGACACTAATCACTTGGACTTAAATAATGAACTGACCTGTTTATTCTGCCTTAAACTCCGGAGCGTTGATGGTTACCAAACAGTGGGGTTTATCTTGTGTGTGTGTGAATGTTTTCATATTGAAAAGCGTATCATACAGCAATTTCCAGGCTGAGTTTCTAACATGAAAAACCCCACAGGGGTGGTTTTTCTTGCGAGCGCTGACCCGGTGATAAAAGCACAGTAAGTGCCAGCAAGTGAGCAAATGGAAGTGAAAATGTTTGTGGTGGTGGAAAGCAATCCTCCCCGCCTCTCCCCAGATGCCTCCCGACAGCTGCTTGATGGTAAATCAGCGCCGTGGTTGTGTCAGGGACTCTCTGAAGGCTGGAACGTGGCATGGGGCTGGTTTCCCCTCTGCAAACCTCCTGGTGTGGGGGGTTTTCAGGGCACGGAGAGGAGCCTGAGACCCTTCTGGCAGCAGAGGAGGGGAAATGTGTGTTGAGCTGGGAGCATCGCGGCAGACGCTGATGTTTCCAGCCTGTGTTCACACCAATCCTGCTTTTCACAGAGGGAAAATCGCCCTGGTGGGGTGGATTCTCAGGGTTTCCAGCAGAGGTTTGGTGCCTGAACCTGCACCTGGCTGCGAGGTGCTGTTTGTGTGTTAAAGCTTCTCAAAATAAGGTGTGTGTGCTCAGGGTGGAGGAAAGGGAGGGGTCTCTGCTTGGTAAAGCCGGTTCTCTGGACGCAGCGACTCCCTTTGCATTGAGGGTGCTGTCTCTGGAAACTTCAGAAGTTTTTAAGGGACTTTGTTTTTTAATTTAAAATATCCTCCTGCTAAGCTTTCCTCTTTCCTGTCCTTCTCGACCCCCTTCCCAGTAATATCCTCTCCTCTCCCAGTAATGGAAAGGACTGAGTGTGTTTAGAGCAGCTCCGCTCTGTGCCCGAGCGTTCCACGTGCTGCCAGTCACTGACTGGAAGGGGAAGCAGAGGAAGGTGCTGGGAGCAGATTGCTTTATTCTAAACTCAGCATTATTCTACGATGCCTCGCAGGGGAGGGCAGGAGGGATGAATCAAATCCAAGCAGAAACCTGTTGTTCTTACCCAGAAGTGAAGCGCTATATTTGGAAGCTGAGCAGCTGTCTCTCCTTCTGAATGAGCTGTTCTTTGCTACCAAGTCTCGAAAAGAAGGATCATTAATTAACCAGGGAACCTGCCTCGCTCAGGGGTGCTGAGCTCCCATCCCCACCAAACACCCAGCAGTTGGTTGAATGCAGAATAAAACTCCTCCACACAAGAAATGTGGGCTGGGAGGTTGTGTTTGGAGCAGAATCCAAGTGGGTTACAAGAGGCTGTGGCTGTGCCAGGGTGTCCTGGACCAGGTGAGCATCAGCAGGATCTTCCTCCTTCGGGACACAGTCACCCTCCTGGTTATCGCTGAGTTGGAAGGGACCTCAAGGATCATCTACTCCAACCTTTCCTGGCCCAAAGCAGGATCTAGACAAGAACATCAGCAGGATCTTCCTCCTTCAGGACACAGTCACCCTCCTGATTATCGCTGTGTGACAAGAATCACAGAGTTGGAAGGAACCTCAAGGATCATCTACTCCAACCTTTACTGGCCCAAAGCAAGGTCTAGACAAGATGGCTCAGCACCCTGCCCAGCTGAATCCTAAATGTGACTCCAACCTTTCCTGGCCCAAAGCAGGATCTAGACAAGACAGCCCAGCACCCTGCCCAGGCATCAGCAGGATCTTCCTCCTTCGGGACACAGTCACCCTCCTGGTTATCGCTGAGTTGGAAGGGACCTCAAGGATCATCTACTCCAACCTTTCCTGGCCCAAAGCAGGATCTAGACAAGACAGCCCAGCACCCTGCCCAGCTGAATCCTAAATGTGTCCAGTGTTGGGGAATCTACCACTTCCCTGGGGAGATTGTTCCAATGGCTGGATATTCTAATGAAAAATTTCCCTTTTGTGCCCAATCAGAATCTCCCCAGGAGTAACTTGTACCCGTTACCCCTCATCTTTTCCATGCGACTCCTTGTAAAAAGGGAGTCTCCATCTCCTTTAAATACTGGAATGTGGTGATAAGGTGTCTCCTGAGCCTTTTTTTCTCAAAGCTGAACAAACCCAAGTCTTTGGTCGAGGGTGGATTCCTTCCTTGGGGAAGGTTGGAACCTGAACACCCCCCTGGTTTGCTCTCACTGCAACTTTTGTCTGTGTGAGTGGTCTTTTGTCTTCCGTGGACTGCACAGAGAGCAGGGAATTGCATTTCAGTGGTCTCCTGCTTATTTATCGCCTTTTGGAGTTTCGATCCTGCTGCAAGATGAATTTGCTGCTCGCTGAAGACCTGGTATTAATCTTGCTCAGCAAACAGGAAAGCTAAGTGGTACCTTGTTAGCGATGGCAAAGATAAAGGCTGTGTGGTACAGTTTCACTGGAGCAGGGACAGCCCTGACCTTCACTCCGCGGAGAGAGCGGCAGGCTCAGGTTGCCTTTCCATCTTTAAGCCCGGCTTATCTCTTAGGTAAACATAAAACACGTAGGAGCTGGAGTAAGTGAATCTCCTCTCCCTGCCTGGTAAAGAGTGATGGGCATCGGTCCTGAGAGTAACACACCAGCAGCTTCCACGGAGGGATGCGCTGCGAGGAGCTGGAGGGCAGAAAGTGTGAAGAAAAACGCTGAAGATGCAAGTGCAGTGAGAGGAGCCCGCGCCTTTTGGAGTTTCGATCCTGCTGCAAGATGAATTTGCTGCTCGCTGAAGACCTGGTATTAATCTTGCTCAGCAAACAGGAAAGCTAAGTGGTACCTTGTTAGCGATGGCAAAGATAAAGGCTGTGTGGTACAGTTTCACTGGAGCAGGGACAGCCCTGACCTTCACTCCGCGGAGAGAGCGGCAGGCTCAGGTTGCCTTTCCATCTTTAAGCCCGGCTTATCTCTTAGGTAAACATAAAACACGTAGGAGCTGGAGTAAGTGAATCTCCTCTCCCTGCCTGGTAAAGAGTGATGGGCATCGGTCCTGAGAGTAACACACCAGCAGCTTCCACGGAGGGATGCGCTGCGAGGAGCTGGAGGGCAGAAAGTGTGAAGAAAAACGCTGAAGATGCAAGTGCAGTGAGAGGAGCCCGTGACGTTCGAGGTTGTGCTCTTGACCTTCAAGCTAAGATTCACGTGTGTTGCCATTATTTGAAGCCCAGCAAGAAATCCAAAGCCAGGACACGTGTGTAATGGTTGAAAAAAATGTTCCCGGCTGCGTTTGTGGCAAAGGAGGTGGTAAATGCTGGGCTGTGTCTGTCGGCGATGCTGGGAGCCATGTGTTGTGTGCTGTGTCCAGTTTTGGGCCCCCCACCACAAGAAAGACATTGAGGTACTGGAGCGGGTCCAGAGAAGGGCAACGAAGCTGGTGAGGGGTCTGGAGAGTAAGTCTTATGAGGAGAGGCTGAGGGAGCTGGGGGTGTTCAGTCTGGGGAAGAGGAGGCTGAGGGGAGACCTTATTGCTCTCTACAACTCCCTGAAAGGAGGGTGTAGAGAGGTGGGGGTCGGTCTCTTCTCCCAAGTTACAGATGATAGGACAAGGGGTAATGGGTTCATGTTGCACCAGGGTAGGTTTAGACTGGACATTAGGAAACAATTCTTCACAGAGAGAGTGGTCGGGCATTGGAACAGGCTGCCCAGGGAGGGGGTTGAGTCCCCATCCCTGGCTGTGTTTAAGAACCGTTTAGATGTGGTGTTGGGGGATATGGTGTAGGGGAGAGCTTTAGAGTAGGGTGGATGGCTGGACTCGATGATCCCGAGGGTCTCTTCCAGCCTAGATAATTCTGTGATTCTGTGTGTGATCTTAAATTTTACCTGTACGTGAAATTGTTTCTTTCTATCCCTTAATTCATGGGTCTCCTAGAGAAGGGCATTGCTCCTTGAAGCCATTACAGAATCACGGAATCCCAGAATCTTCTAGGTTGGAAGGGACCTTAAAGATCATCTTGTCCAACCGTCAACCTGACTGACAAAAATAGACACCCACACAACAAACAAGGAGCATCATCACTAAACCAGACCTCCCAGCACTACATCAACCCCTCTTTTGAACACCTCCAGGGATGGGGCCTCAACCACCTCCCTGGGCAGCCCATTCCAATGGCTGAGAACCCTTTCAGGGAAAAAATGTTTCCTAATATCCAGCCTGAACCTCCCCTGGTGCAACTTGAGGCCATTTCCTCTCGTCCTGTCGCCTGTGACTTGAGAAAAGAGACCGACCCCCATCTCTCTACACCCTCCTTTCAGGGAGTTGGAGAGAGCAATAAGGTCTCCCCTCAGCCTCCTCTTCTCCAGGCTGAATAACCCCAGCTCCCTCAGCCTCTCCTCATAAGACTTATTCTCCAGACCCCTCATCGTCTTTGTCGCCCTTTTTTTTTTTTTTTCCTGTTTTTTTCTTTTTTTTTTTTCTTTTTCTACTTCTCAACCGCAGTTGCGTTGAGAACTCGGGTCTCACCTCTAATTCTTATTCACATACAGCTCATAGAGGAAGAACAGATAAACTTTCCTGCTTTTCCACCTTTCAGTGAGATTTTCTGCTTTGAGCCTCTCCTGGAAGTGTGGTAGAGGGTATCTCTTTCACTTGTCCCACCCCTTCAGAGCAGACCAAGGGGATCCCAGGCGGTGTCAAGTTCTAGGGCTGGCTCTGCTCAGGGGTTTCACTTCAGCGCTTTGTAAGGCAGTGAAATAGTTCTCATTGTGGCGTTTAAAATAGCAGTGCTGCCTTCTGAATTACCATCTAATTAAATGAAAGCAAAAGCTCAAAAGCGAGTGAGCTTTCTGCATCCCTTGTTGCATAAGAAAAGCTGTTTTAGTTGACCTAAAAACCAACATTGAAAAACAGGCTAAACAGAGATGCTTTCCCCCTGGCTCTGCGGGCACTTTGGAGCAGTTGCTACTGTTCTTGGAGAGCCATTCATGTGGTGGCAGCTGCAAACCCCCTTCAAAACAGTTACTCCTTTGAGACTGGCTTCCCTTTTGCTTGGTGCTTGGAGGAACCCTGCTGTGGGGACAAATAATTAGAAATAAAAGATGGCAGCTTAACGATTATTAGCTTCTTTCTGATGCGGGCGGCGGTGGAAGCTGAATGCAGGGGTGAGATGGGGCTAAGGTGCACCTCGAAGCTGTTGCTGTGGTCTCTTGCTCAGAAGATTTACCTCCGTGTGCCTCCGTGGAGCTGTGGAATGTGTAGAGTTATATTATTTATTTCAGTAACAAACCTTTTTCAGAGAGGACGACTCTTAGCAATTAGCTGTGACGATGGCAGCAGTTTTGATGAAGCCTGCTTCCTCTCCTCCCAGCCTCTCCATCCATACCCACAGCTTTTCCATCCAGCTTTGGATTTCCCCCCTCTTCTACCCTCCTCCAGTTCTTCAATTCTGCCTATAAATCTGACCTGTGTTGGGTTTTTTTTTATAAAACGAGCATGGAAAGATAGGACCTTAAATAAAGCCTCAAAAGGCCTTATTTTGTAAAGCTCCAGGAAAAACTGGCAGCGACGTGACGGTATCCTTTGGGATTTTGTCCTATTGATATTAATCTTTTTGAAGCTGGTATCCATGACTGCCAGTTTCAGAGGTTAATATACTGCGTTTCAACCAAGCTGAAAAGTCTTTTTTTTTTTTTTTTTTTTTGTTATTTCATTTGTGATATGGAAATGTGCACCAATTAATCACCGCGCACCTGCAGAAGTGCCTCCCTCAGCAGACTCTCAGGGCTGTATTAGGTTGTGGGATCATCTGTGGAAAGGACTCGGGGTGATGACTCTGATCCAGTTAGTAGCTTAAGACAGACCCTGCAAGCTCCAAGGAGAAGGCAGGGAGGGGAGACAGCACTGAAATGAGGTGGTGTGGAGCTTCAACTCCTATTTCTGGAAAAAAGACGGTAGCCCGTGCTCTGTTTAGAGGTTGTATTTGCTCTCCGTAGCTAAAAATCTTAATTAAATAAATGTTAGGTCTTGCTGGGTGTCCCTTGCTGATGTGTGGGTCAAGCCTGCGATAATAAAATGCTGTCAGTTGTCTAGTGCTGGGTTCAGGGTGAATTTCTGCCCGGCTTTTGGATCACAAGTGATGTGTTCGTGTGGACTAGAGGGCTCTCTGCCGAGTACCAAGCTCTACATTCCTGCTGGGTTCACCTCGGTCCCAAATAAACCCTCGTCTTGAAACCTTCCTTCTCTCAACCAAAGAGCTTGGAGGATTTTGAGGCCAAAGGATGCTCAGATGAGGAGAGCAACGGTATGGAGTAAAATCTGTGCTGGAGCAGCCTTTGGTGAGAGCTTCACCAAACTGGTGCCTTTCTGGGGAAGAGCTGCAGCTCCAAAACCACCTACCTGGGGTTATTTAAATAGACCAGAGCCTCTCCTCGCTGCAGTTTGGCTTCTCATCCCTGTGAGGAGTAAATCAGCTGCTGACATCCTTTGTTTGTGGCATTGGCTCTTCTGCCTCCCTGCCTCCGCGCTGGTCCCTAGGTGGCACTCACTGTTATTTTTGGGTTTATTTCAACAAAGGCTGCATAGCTGAGCTTGTCCCCCGCTGAAGTGACAGCTGTGTCCCTGGCCAAGCTGCCTGTCCACGTTTGGTTTAGAAGAGGCTGGCGCAAGAGGCTTGAACTTCCTCCTGCTGCCCAAACATAGA